ACAAAAAATTCCATGGAGGTAAAAAATGCTGCAAAAACTGAAAATATCAATAACAATCCATTGGTTTTAAAAGAACAAAATGATTTGAAAGAGACTACAAGGTCAGTTGAAGTAGTCACAGAACAGCCACTTTGTTCTGTTGATTTGTCTGAGCTGCCACCTAAACCAAGAATATCAAGCAGTTCAATTGCACCCGTGACGCCTGTTAAAGATACCAACCATCCACTCATTGAAGATGAAAATGATAAATGGGAAACCCAAAAAAAAGAGGTTTTTACAAAACACCTCGTCCAACACTTATTGAACGACCAGATCCACTCCAGGGAACCAATGAGAATGCTGGAAGTATCCTGCTTGTAGCCACAAAACATATGGCGATTTTCCCGTCAGGTTTCGATCCAAAAACGGAAGCTCAGGAAATACTTAACTATCTAAAAGAAAGAAAACTGGATGAAAATGTTATATGCGAAAAAATGAAAACCAGGACAGATAAGTACAAAAGTTCATTTAAAATTACTGTTCCAGAACTAAAAATACCTGATTAAAAGCAGCAAGAATTATGGTCGAATGGTGTAATTTTTAACCATTTTCAGAATGTACAGAGGCACCCCAGTGTCAAAAGACAGTCTACGGCACACACCAAAAGAAATTATCAGTAATCCACTTAAACACGCAATCACTTAAAACAAGTATTGATGCCATTAATTTTATCCTAGAAGATCATGATGAATGCTTTGCTCTTTGTTTAACTGAGCACTGGAAAACAGAAGAACAACTGCGGGACTACAATGTGCGGAATTTTAAACTAATCTCTTCATATTGCAGAAACAGTTCACAGGAGCATGGTGGCAGTGCGGTATACATCAAAGACACGTTTATTCCAAAAGCCCGGGAAGTTTCAACCCAAAATGTTTCAAATGCCAAATTCGCATTATCGAGATATTCGTAAACCTGTTCAAAATTTTCAGTAAAAAATCTGTTTTGTAAAGTTAATAAATTCGATTTGGAAAGATTTCTGAATGTTACGTTTTGACTTATTTTAAATTGCCCTTTTTCTGGTTTAGCATCTATTAACAAAAACTCCAAACCCAAATGATCGCCCAAAATAAAATCTTTTGTAGTTTCTTCATATTGATGTGACCAGTTTGTAAGAAAATAATCTAATTTAGTTTTAGAAGTTTTTCCATTCTTGTCTGTAAATATTCGTGTAGGTTCTTTATTTTGACACTTTAAATTAAAACTTTGAATAAAATCAGTAAGCAAAACTTTTTCCTTAGAGTCTTTAAGATAATCTACATTAAAATCGCCGCATAAAATAATGGTTTTAAAATATTTAAAACAATAATTTAGACACGAGTAAAGTTTGTTTACAAATATCTCAATATCGCCAGAAGGGGCTCTGTAAATATTAATAAGTAAGTAAGACAACACATACTATCTCTTAAGCTAAAAGTAACACAACAAAATTCAAAATGTATTTCTTCCGCCATATTATTTAAAAAGTTTTGAGGTTTACAAGATAAACAGTCTTTTATGTACATCGAAACACCTCCATGGCATTTATATTTTCTTATGAAAGACGCTACTTGGTTATAATTAGGAAAACAAAATAAATCCCTATTTAGATCACTACACCATATTTCAGATACACATAGAACATCAGGATCCTCTGAGCTCAATATTACCTCAATTCTGTTACTTTTATTACTTATCGATTGAGAGTTAACACTTATGATTATATACATATATGTACTATTTTATAAACATCTAGATGTGTACGAAGATTGTTAAGAAATAGTTCAGCACACCAGCTATATTAAAGCTCTTAAAGAATCTACAATAAACAAGGGAATTCAAAGTTTCCCTAGGAACACAAACTGATATGAACCAGTTAATGATGTGATAGTAAAATAAAATCAGATATAAAAGCTTAACAATTTATTAGGACACCATCAAATAATAAATCAAATTGCGTTTGCGACTTCCATATTTGATATAGAAAACATATTGTCTATTTATACGTCTAATGAAAAACTTTCACAATCGCCGTCTACCTACAAAAGTTGAGCACCTAATAAAACCATAAACTAAAAACGCCTAAATCCTAAACTGACGCCAAAATTTTACTTCTTCTTCGTGTGGCTTATGTTTGGTGCGATCATGAGGCTTATTTTACTCTGTTTTCAGCAGTTCTGAAGAGTTCTATTGTTGTTTTTCCACTACACTGCTTTAAATTTTTCAATCAGGACCTACATCGTCTCCCGTACGCTTTTCCTTGTATAACCAATCGCATCAACTCATATTTTTCATTTCTGAGTATATAACCAAAGTAGCTCATTTTTCTTTTCTTTATAGTGTTTAGCATTTCTTTTTCTTTTTTCATCTTTCCTAATGTTTCCTTGTTTGTTACGTGTTGTGTCCTTTAACGTGTATCTAGTTTAATGTATAAATTTTACCATATTTTAAAATACATAAAAGATACAACATGTTTTGGTTTTTTAGTTAGTTTTAGCATAACGTAGGTATGTACGCTTTCATTACTTAATCGTTTTTAAATATTATTTGACTCAGTTCATTCTACTTTACCTACTTATACATAATAATAAAAACTTCCACCTCCAAACTACCAACCAACAATATCAAAACTACAAAACAGATCAGTGATTCGTCCTTTTGACAACGTGTGCCGATCGTTTAGAAGGAGGGATTTCGTATCTCCATCTAAGGACAACTTATCCTTATAAGGAGCCGTTCGCTTCTAAATATGGCATTGGGCCGTCCTAACACTACTTGTTTACATCCCACTTTTGTTATTGTTCGTGCATACGTTTTTAAATGCTCTTAAATATGATTGAAATTAACTACTGGTCACTTTCTATTCCAATGTGGCAATTTTCAGCGATTTTTTTTATTTGGAACAATTTTTATTACCACCAAAATCCATCTGCTCAGGTTACAGCAAATTATCAACGAAATAGGTGCGAGATTTTGTTTTGAGTAAGACAGAGACGCGAAAACTTCAGCATGAGGTAACTTAAAGCATGCGCTTCTTACTCAAGTATGTATTGGCTGCTGCCAGTCAACGTTGCCAGATCATTTCCTATTAAAATAATGCTAATTATGGAAAATATTACATAGATTGTATGAATATGTGGTTCGTTTTCAACAGTACAAAGCTGCATCATGCAGAAACAACCAGGATTTTTAAACCAGGAAAATATTAATAATATTATGTGATAGGTATAGATAAGTATAATATTAACATAAAATTGAAACTGCCGATATAGGTATATAAAAGACAACTTCTTCAACAACTTTGGCAGTTATACACATTTTCATCAAAATTATTAATTATTGGGTTTTTGGAATCGATTTTCAGATTAGAAATCAAAACATTTTCATTACAATCAATTTCAGCTTAATCACATATAAACAAAATTTAAAAAAATGCCAATTTAAATTAAATATTATAAAAGCCATACGAATCGAGAAGGCCTTGAACGTAGAGAAGACTGACTGTTAAGCTGTTCCTACTAACACTAAAAAAATTACTAAAAAAATACGCGTTCTTTTTGTATTTTATAATAATATCTACATAATTTAAACAGTATATATATATATATATATATATATATATATATATATATATATATATATATATATATATATATATATATATCAAATGTTAAACAGTAATTAACGCATTTTGTTAAAAAATAGGAATTGTGGATATTGTTAACTCTTAGATACAGTTCACAAAAAACCCAGTCCATATATGACAGACAAATTTAAATATTTGATGATTGTATTTTTGTTTTTAGAACATGCAAAAGCCTTTGTTAAGAATAACTTTTTTCATAAAAATAAAAAAGTTTCCCGTACGGTGACTTAATTGGACATCCTAATATACACACCCGTTATTATTTCAGTCTATCTTCTTCAATCTTAGCCAACTTTGCTGGATAAAAATTCATTGGAGATTACTTGTTTTTTTTTACTTGAAAAAGATTGCCAGCTCTTCTCCTTTGTTTGCGCAATTTTGTCGTAATCGTAATAGAGCGTAATTCCTGATTGCATCTGTCCTAAGATAAGATAGCTTTTCACATACTACCAATGCCTAGCATTCAATAGTAAAACCCAACTTAAGAACGATGAAAAAACTCTTCGGTGACAAAATAAGGGTAAAACATTATTTACAGTAATGAAACTTACTCTCTTTTTAAATAATAAAGTGTATCTAACTTAGCTTGAAAATATTATGTCAGATTCACTGTCGAAAATATACAACCGAAAAATTTCTCTTATTACTAATAGCTTATTTAAACTTACTGTTACAGACTTTTTTTACCGAAAAAAGGAAAATAATCATGAATAATGAGAGTATATATTTATTAATTTTCATTAAAAAGTTTCCATTTGTAAATGCTAATTTATAAACGATTATAAAATTTCAAAAATAAACTTTTGTTTTAATTGATGCAGTTTTATTTTGTTAATAAATGGCATCTAAATATTTCGTTGTTTAAATATTCGTTATGAGCACCTATGCTTGGCTGTATAGTATTTTTTTCAGCTACTAAGTACCAGCCGGTTAAAATTTAAAAAGTAGAAAAAATGATTGTTAAACTTACTAGACAGTACATAATATTGATGTCGAACATTATTCTTTTATATTTACTATTTTTTGTATAATAAATAATTATTTTAAAAATATTCCACCTATATTAATACGATGTATGTAAATGTAGTGAAATAATTATACATCAAAGTTGTATTGTAAATTTAATTTTCCCTTCTAATAGATATATTAATAAACTTGGCAACGTTCGACGATATCGTTATGGGCGGCGCACGTTCTCGATGCTCCTCAGTTCGGCCAGATCGTAATGTGCAGTCAGCTGTGATTGTTTGATACCACGTCAAGAGTGAAGTGCGCTGCTGAATCACGTACGTTCGCGAGTTCATTTGTTTTGTTTTATCTTGTCAAACTGTGGTGCGAAATGGAACCCGGCGGGAGGGATTCCCGTTTTAATCTAGGCTATAGCATGAACCTACTCAGCGGTGAGACTCCACCGGAAATCTACGGCAACCCCAACTTAGGACGACCATCTACAAGTTTACAACAACTCTCACCCCGGCATACCATGGTTTCGAGTGCTTGTAACCGCGGAATTAAGTCGGATATATATGACGACAGGGCAATGTCGAGCCAGGGGATGGGACTGGACAGCTGTGTAAATGAAATCAGCGATGACTCCTACTCGATTCAGTCGAAGAAATCGCCTCCGAGCAACGGCAAAAAAACCAAAGGTCGTGTTAAAATCAAGATGGAATACATTGAGAACAAATTACGGAGGTATACTACATTTTCTAAACGAAAAACTGGAATTATGAAAAAGGTAAGTACAAAGTTAACCTCTTTTCCTATATTTTGTCTGGTTATTGGAGCTGGCGCATGCACGTGAGACGTTGCGCGCGCAATAAGATACCGTCTGTTTGCACTATGTTGCCACAATTCTAGTGGAAAAGTATTTAAAATTACTGATTTTCCAAATAATATTACAGATGTTTAGATTTTTTTTCTAAATAATAAAGAAACGATACAAAAATGTTAAATACTGAAGGTGTTTTAATTAGTATTTTAAAAAATAGTACATATAATGAAAAAGTTAGACATAAACGGTATTTTAAATTTTTTATCTTCCAAAATTAAAATAATTTTCAGTTAAAAGTCGTTAGGATAGTCTACTCGAATATATATAAATGCACAAAAAAGGATACTGATGAATTGAAAAAAAAATTTCAACTACATTTGTAACGGGTTTTTGTCAAAATTAATGAAACATTAATATTGGTTTCAATTATTTAGTAGATGTTATGCATGATGTGAACCACGATTCCTTACTTACTTTAAGTGTAACTTTAAAGTAATAGTTATAAGCAGAATAATAAATTAATTTTTTTCATATTTTAAAAATTAATAACATTGAATGAATCACCTAATCCTTTTCAACACATTCATATCGAGAAAATTAGTAAAAAAATCTTTAGGTAATTGATTTTTTTTATTAGTCAAAAGTTTATATTTTTTGTATCTCTTGGTGATTTGGCAACATGGCCGCCAACCATCCTTTTATAAAAAATAACACACGATATGCATCTGCCAACAATTATCAAATTTCCCACTCATTTACAAGATTTTCAGTTGTTTTGCGGACACAATACAATTATCTACCCAATAACATTGTCAGATATTATTTTATTTTTTAAAAGTTTTTGACAGTTTTCTCATAATAGCCAAAGATTCTAACACGTGACCGAGGTAATTATGGGACACGGGCTTTGTGGTACTCTGGTACTGTTACATTGTTGTCGGAATGTCGGTAGTACAGAAATTATGAACATATGTTCCTACTGTCAGTTGATGATGATGCAGAGAGATCTGATAACATTTTGCAGGTTGAATAGGTTAATTTTAATTTAGCCTCATCTAGTTATTATAATAAGCGTGATTCCTTTAAAACAAAACTCAACATATATGAAAATAAAGAAAGAAGTCTATTTGGTTATCTAATTTAATCCTATTTAGGATTATTTCACCTTAATTTATGATCTTATAGATTATGTGATGTCAAAAATAGTTTTTTGGATTGACAAAAAAATACTTTTGCATATTTTTTGTAAACATGCTTGAGTTGCCGGTCTTTTTTTTTTCTGAGGTGAAAGAGTTCTTAACCGACCTGCGATGATGGCTCTTATACTGTTGAATTCAAATAAGAAGAGCGACATGTCGAACTCATCCCCTCGACTTGGTGAAAGTTGGTTCTAACATACTTTACCAAATTGGTGCTTACCAACTAAGACCACCCTCTTTTCTTGCCATATACATTTAGCATTAGCTTATCCATGTAACCTGTCAGCGCATATACATGTCTGTTGTTCATTTTGTTGTTTTGTATGTTTGTATTGTCAGTTATATACTTTTGAAACTACTTGTTTTGTATTGTACTTGCAGAGCTCTGAAGAAAATAATGTGTTTTGTTGTATTTTTTTATTGGCCTATCTGCCGTCGTTCTTTTTGTTTCTCGGTTTTAATAATTTTGGCGACGTTATTTAGAACCGAAGTGAATTGTTCTTTCTTAGTATATTCTTAAAATTCTCCGTTGTTATTTGTCTTCGTTCCATCGTCAGTTTTTATCGTGTTTTTTTTTAGAATCTTTGGGCATTTGCTAATTGCTTGGTAATTGCTTCCATTTTCTTAATTTATGACGTTATAGTGTAGTTTTTTTCACAGAGTCTGCCCCAGTAGTGATCTCTTTTGATACCCTGCTGTTAATAGGTGTAGATATTGTTTTCTATAGTGATTTTTTTATTCTTCAGATCTTCAATGAATATATTCGTTATGTAGCTGTAATGGGCCATTGAAAGCATTCTTCAAGACTAAGGCTCTTAAGGCTACTTATCTTTTTTTTGTCTATTTTACTTTAATAATAATCCACGTTGCATAATATAGCACTGTTGATTAAAGGTAAAGGTCCTCTATTACGATGTTTCTTCGAATGTTTGTTTTCCTTCTTTACATATCTATAAATTTGCATTTTTCTGTTCGTCGGGAGAGTCTTATCATCTCATATTATGATGAATTAGCGCGTTTTAAATTATCTCTGGTTTGACTTTTAGTGCTATATTTACGATCAGTGTATCCTCCCTATACTCACGTATGGCTCACAGAGGACACTCGCCAAGTCTAACATGGATAAAATAGTAAAAACACAAAGAGCTATGGCAAGATTAATGCTTGGGGTAAGACTTATAGACAAAAAAAAAACAAATAAATTAGAAGAAAAACGAAAGTAAAAGACGCAGGAGAACATGCGGCGAAATTAAAGTGGAGCTTCGCAGGACACAATACCCGACTGAAGGATAAGAGATATGGAGGATAAGGAACCACGAAATACAACAATGGAGACCATGGTTAAGAAAGAGAAGCAGAGGAAGACAAATGAGATGGGCGGATGATGTTAAGAAGATCGGAGGACCCAACTGGAAGCAAGTTGCGCAAAATATAAGACATTGGATTGATTTGGGGGAGGCTTATGTCCAAAGTTGGATTACTTAAGGCTGAAGAAGAGGAAGCTATATTTAGTATTTTGTCCGGTATTCCGTCTGATCCAGGTGCTTTATTTTTCTTCACGCCTCATATTGCTGTGGCTTCCTTCTCTAACATGAATGGTGTTGCATATTAGACTGTTTTTTATCCCTCTCTTTTCGGAAAAAGTAATGATGTAGGTTTTATTTCCTTTATTATGCCAATTTATTAAATCGTCCATTTTTTGTCTTTGTGTTGGGTAATGCTCTTGCACAGCTGTTTTCTGGTTTTTTTTTATATGAGTATATAAGTACTTAGTTATGAGTTGGTACTTAAGTAGTGTTTTGTTTTTATTTTTAGACAAGAGCTGATATTGTTAATGTAATTTATTTCTAAGGTTTTATCATATTTATACATCCTGTCTAAAATTTTGTTCATATTCTTCATGTTCATATGACTCCGGAGTTTATAGGACAGATGTTGGATTATTGGTCGTTGAATTTTACAGAGAAATATCTATTTAAGTAATATGTTGAATTTGAGTAGGAGGAAATAGTTACTACATAGTGCTATTTTTACTTTGTACAGCAGACTTCTGTGTCAGACTTTGGCAAATGCTTGTGAGATGTCTAGGAATATAGCGTTGCTGTATTTTTTTCTTTAAGACTTTTTGAAATTTCGTTTATTATTCGATGGCCTTGCTGGGTAGTGGAGTGATTTTCCCGAAAACAAAATTGATGTAGGAATTCATGAACTGTGTATATCCTTTGTAGCAGCAATCTTTCAAAAAGTTTGCCTACGATTGGGAATAGTCTGATGGGTCGATAAAATGTTACTTCATTGGGCTAATTTCCAGGCTTAAGGAATGTAATGATTTCAGTGAATTTTCATATTTTTGGAAAGTATAAGTTTAGCATGCGGCTAAATATTAGCATAGTAATGGTCTTACAAAGAAGTTGTTTTAGTACTTGTACGAAGATGAAATCATAACCTGGGACCTTTTCTGAGTTCAGTTTGTTTATTTCTTACTTGACTTATTTAAGAGTAAAATTTTTGATCGGGAGGGACATTTAACATGAAGCGCTAATAAGTTCTACCAATTCTACATCAGGGTCGGTTTAAAATACGCTTGCAAGTTGGCCACTAAAGACGCCCGCTTTTTCTTTGTTGGAACATACTCATTCGCCATTTTGTTTACGGACAGGAGGGATAGTTGTGTATGATTTCTCATGCTTCTTAATCGCCTTAATAGTTTACTAGATCTGGAAGTTTTGTGGGGTCACTCCTCCAGTACGTAGGGATTCCTTTGGTTGTCAATCATAATTGTTGTCGGTCATTGCTTTTAAAATATTACGTCGTTTTGTTTTTGTGAGTCTTGAGCCTTAGTGTGTGTTTTCGCATTCCAGTCTCCTCGGCTACGAATTTACTCTCAAGTAATTGAAATATTGCATCTGTGGAGATTGCATGACGAAGTGGGCTGTAGATTGCAGTTTTGTTCATGTTGTTGTTTGTATTTTTTCTGTTGCATATTTCTGCAATTCATGATATGATATGCAGCTGTGGATGATTATCAGCTGTACCATCGGGCTAACGTGTGCTGTATATAGTTTAGAGCGGAATATTTAACGTAGCGAGATCGGTAAAGTGGATTTCTGAAATAAGCAGTTCATCGATTTTATTCAGGTTTAAGAAAGTAATTACTTCCTGCTTTTGGTTTAGAAGACTTATCGTTTCATGTAGCAGTTCTAAGTATGCTTGAGAATTTCTTTGGTTAATGGCTTGTGTTAGTAAATTTAATATTATACTAGTTTGACTCATGAGTTGCGAGAACATGTTTATGAAATCGTTAAGGTTTGAAATGCATTTGCATATGTTTTTGATGGTTTTGTAAAGTGTCTTTTAGCTGATTTGTTTCATTATGTACAAGTGGGCTGTTGAATGTTGTTGTTTTAGACCGTTGAATGTTGTTCTTTGGGGCTGTTGGTTTTTTATTTTTGGCATATTTCTGTTTTCTACTAGACATATGTAGACTACACACTCATTGCTGTCAGCAGGGTGATCTTGTTTGCAAATTGCACGCTTAGCCAGAGTGTTTCAATTAACGAGATTTTGTATCATGTTGTCCTTCACATTTAACGCAGTAGTGCGGTTTAGTGCAATATGTTTTACTATGGCCGTATGCTTGACACCGCATGCATTGGATGATTGATTTTCTCTTTGGTAACTTGACTGCCATTTTGGTATGACATAAGAATTCTAGGTTAAACATTTCTTTGTTGCCACTCTTAAGTACAAGGTCTATGAAAAATAAAGATGAGAGGTTCTTTGTTTGTCTATGTCTGATTTTAGCTATATCGCCAACTTTATGGCCGGCTTTGTCTAGTTTCTTTGTTATATCTGTTGTGGGTATAGATCAGTGATGCCCAAACAGTCGATCGCGACAGCTTTTCGCCGATTTCGAAAGAATTCGAATTACGATCAAGCCTGGTCGAAATATTCCAGACTTCCAGAGGCAATGCGATTGCGTGCCGTTTGGCGAATGTTGCCGATTCTTCTCGAATGCCTATTTCATGTATAATACACGGTAACGCTGCGGTAACGGAACATTACGTTATCATTTAAGTTACGATAAGTAGAAGTTATATGTAAAACATCCATATTTAAAACGCAACATGATTGCAAAAAAGCAAAACGTACCATTTTAGTAGTCATTGGAAGGAAGAATTTTTCTTTGTTATGTTTAGGGATAAGTGTAGTTTACTCAGTTACCTAATCTTCAGTGGCATGACCCAAACGTGAAAACTTAGAAATTTATTATAAAACCCTGCATAAAAAGCATGAAAATGAGTTTCCGTCAAAAAATAAGTTAAAAGGACAAAATTCCAAGAATTTGAAAAGTAATTTAAAGGGAGAATAATCCATCATCATTATACCTGTTACAATTATACAATAATAACCTGTTTTAAAACTTTCTTACATACTGGCACAAGACAAGAAACCTTTCGAAGATGGAACCGCAGTGAAATAAGCATTTATTGGAGCGGCTAATGTATTATTTGATGACTTAAAAAATAAAACACAGATTATATCTGCTATCAAAGAGGCCCAGTTATCCCGTACAACTATTACCAAACGAATCGAGATCATGAGCAAAGATATGGAATCTCAACTGTAAGGGTATATTTTGGGATCTAGGTATATACTGTTCTTTCAGTTTAATGTTTCCATCGATGTTACTAATACTGCCCAGTTATGTATGTTCACCCGGATGGTCTTATTTGGTATGTCGGCTAAAGAAGGAATATTAACAGCAAGTTCTATGTTAAAAAATACTAATTATGAATGATATGATAGACATTGCCAGAAAGATTGTAAACTTAATCGAAGCACTGAGTGAGATAGGAAAATTTTAGTTTACAAATATTAATGTTTTGATGCCTTAATTATTGTATTTATAAGCGTTTAATTAAAGCATTTTCATAAATATAAAAGTATTTTAGTATTTATGCTCTAGCCTAGTTGTACTAGTCGGTAGACGAT